AAGATGTGCTTTACCCAGAACTCAATTGTCAGTGGCACAAATTAGGGCAGAAGAACAAGAACTCAGTCTGAAGAATTGGGGTTTAAAGAGGGATGGGTGGGCAACACACATAAAAACTAGACAGAGCTTTGACACACCACTCTTGAGATTTTTAAAACCATATATGTCTCATGACTTCAAAGAAGCCTTTTTTCATCCTTTTTTCATATCTAATTTGAGGAAACTTTTCATAATGTTTCAAGTATCACATAATACAGTGTTTTTCAAACTTTGCAATTTTCAGATGTATGATCTTGAAAGTTGCCAATATTTTTCAAATTTTTCAAATACTACAAGAAAATTCCCCCCTTTTTTTCAAATGCAACAGATTCCCAAGGACTTTGAAAAATAAAACTTTATGGCATACATAAATGATGACTGGCTACCCAAAGTCACTTTATCCATAACTCCAGCATGTATAAATTATAAAATTAACCATATCAATAGTTGACTTTAAGTCAAGTATATTAAATATTTCATTACCTTACAGACAAGGAAGAGGAAACGCAGTATTTTAATGTCTGGATTTAGCTTAATTCATTTCACATCAGAAGATAACACTTTATGACAGCACCCTTCCCCATACATTTTTAAAGTGCATCAGAGAGTACAGATAGTCCTTGAGTTATGACACAGTTGAATCCAAAATTTGTTGTTAAGTGAGAAATTTGTTCAGTGAGTTTTGCCCCATTTTGCCCCTTTGTTAAGTGAATCACTGCAGTTCTTAAATTAGTAACACAGTTGTTAGTGACTCTGATTTCTCCACTGACTTTGCTTGTCAGGTCACAAAAGGGGATCCCATGACTCCAGGATACTGCAACCGTCATAAATGTGAGTCAGTTGTCAATTATCCGAATGGATATCACGTCACCATGGGAATGCTACAACAGTCATAAGTCTGAAAAAAAGGTCATGTCACTTTTTTCAGCTCCGTTGTAACTTAGTGAACGGTCACTAAGTGAGCTATTGTAAGTCAAGGACTACCTGTAGTAGAATTCAATACCATTTAGACCCCCAGACATTAACAAACAATTAAATATATCATTAAAATGATCATTTCCATACCATTTAAAAACTTGAAGAAGATAGTAAATAAATTAAGATAATTATATTGTTATAAGTATTATGACAGATCCAAGAATTCTGGTATGGACACTTTATGAATTAAATATCTAACTTACAACCTATTTCAGCCTTATATGCCACAGATACTGATGGCCTTCAATGAACTGATTAATCGTTGACGATTTAGGATTGATCAGTTGATAATTTAGTGTTGTTTAATGACAAAATAATAATCAGATTTCTCAGAAAAATTCTCAACTCCGACCATTTTACTACACAAATACTAGATATATCTCAAGTATTTTTAGTATAATCCCTTCAGATGCTTTGGAATTTCAATTTCCAGAATTCTACCAAAATGACCGAATGTTCTAACAATTGCACTTCCCCTATTACCTGAGGGAAAAAGATGCTGTAAAGCGGGCTGCAGTCGTATGTTTGAAGCACAGACGTCTGTCTGTCCGCAGGACATCTGGATTACTCATGGATTGTTAACTAGCAACAGGATTGATATGAGGATTACATGCGAGAAGCCTGAACATCTGTGAGTTTTTTTCTTTCTCATGGAGAGACATGATTGAAATTATGAATAATCGTTTTTTGTAATGATCAATGAACTTTCCTTTACAGATCCTTCTCTGTGTTCCTGCACATTCAAAATAGTATTCAAGTCCACAGAGCAAGACAGGGAGGGAGGTTCAAAAGCCTATGTATATTTAATGCTTGTGTAGATGGTACTAGAGACTTGTCGAGGGTACTCAGGTCCTCCTCAAAAATAGACTCCACCCCCTGCTACCCTCTGCTGACTTGAAAGAAAAGCATTTTTCCATACAATTTATTATTGAATCATAAACCAGGAAGTGAATTGACTGCAAGCTGTTTTGAAAATATATTAAAAATTCAGATAATCCTTGCCTTAAAACAGTTTATTTAATGACTGTTCGAAGTTACAGCAGCACTGAAAAAAGGGACTTATGACCATTTTTCACACTTACGACTGTTGCACGGTCACGTGATTAAAATTCAGACACTTGGCAACTGACTCATATTTATGGCAGCCGGGGTTATGTGATTCCCTTTTTTAAATCTTCTGACAAGCAATGTCAATGGGGAAGCCACTTAACTTTGTTACTAACTTAACAAATGCTATGATTCACTTAATAATTGTGGCAAGAAAAGTCGTAAAATGAGCAAACTCACTTAACAAATGTTTCACTTAGCAACATAAATTGTGGTCATAACTTGACGACTACCTGTACATTTAAGTTGGAATCCTTTCCAGTTTTAATTCCACAATATAATTTGGTTACAAACAGTGATTTATAAAACATATTTTATGGTTTAACATGTCTGAACGCACGTACTTGTCTTTTATTCAACAAATCACAAGGAAATTGTGGATTAGTAAAAGGGGTGAGCTTACTAATTGAGAAATATGTACTGGATTTGAGAAACAAAAAGGCCTTTTGCCACGTCTTTAGTCTGTGGTTTTTTAATCCCTTGGTCCCTTTTCATCCCTTAGTTTGTATATGGCAGAACTGGATCTGCCACCCTCTGCTATATGGGCACAGGGTACAGCGCTTTTGAGCCATTGATCACATGAGCGCTGAGTGCAAGGACCAGTCGTAAGTCACTGTTTTCCTTGCCATTGCTAAATGAATGATTGCAAGTCAAGGACTACCTCGACTGACTCATTGGAAATGAGTGGGTCCTAATTGGTTTAGGTCTTGGGTGCCCAGCTCTTGAGGGGCTGCCACAAAAAACAGGGGGGGTCAACCTGTTCTGCAAAGCACCTGAGGGCAGGACAAGAAATAATGGATGGAAATTAATCAAACCTAGAACTAAGGAGGAATTTCCTAACGGCAAGAACAATTAACCAGTGGAACAACCTGCGTTCAGAAGTTGTGGATGCTCCATCATTGGAGGTTTTGAGCAGAGACTGGACAACCATTTGTCTGAAAAAGTATGGCGTCTCCTGATTGAGCAGGAGGTTGGACTAAAAGACCTCCAAGGTCCCTTCCAACTTCTTTATTCTATGTTCTCTATCAGCATATTTCATTTCATTTATTCATTAGATTTATATCCAGCCTTTCATATAACTGTGTATCCTTAGTTGATTGCCTATCCAGCACCGACCACCATTAAAGATATAGTTCAAAAGAGCTTTTCATCATTCCGGTGTTTTTTGATGTAGTCAGTTTACACATTCAGTTGCCAGTTATCAAGGGCAAAACAATCACCCAGTCTATACGCAGGTATGAACCAGCTTGGCTTGTATTCCTGCTCCTACCCACCCCCATTGATCTCAGGGATGTCTGCAGAGAGGGTAAAAAATGTCAAGATGGCAGCCATACCTGTGCAACCAAAGGCTTGCCTCTTTTTTGTGGGTATCACACCACATCTCATTTATCAAACCACAACTGAAATAATATTGCAAATGTACAAACTCTTGCTAATTTAAAGTTTGTATTAGTCATCCGCTTACATGTTCACCACAGGTTGATAGCCTGGGGAAAGAATTCCCTAAACTTAGGATCTTTCACCTTCCATATACAGTAAATGTTTTCCTGATTGGTAATCGGGAAATAATATCTATGTACCATACGTCAAGTCACTCTTTTCGAAGCCTGCAATAAAAGTCCAAGTCTTTTATAATGCAAGAGGTTATAGCATAGAGAGCTACTAAAAATAGTTTTCAACCTACAAAAAGTGATTATTTATATGGCACATTTGCTAGGGAGTTCAAAGTCCCTCCCACATCTTCCAAAAATTATTCTTACAAAACTGCAAGACAAATCACAGGATCTTTGCTTCTATAGACACGATAGTATAACTGAGACAAAAGCATATTTTACACTGGTGACTGAGCTAAGATTCAAATTGGGTGGCTTTGATTTAGAGGTCCTACTCCACATTATAGCCACACTATGCCAACATGTATTCTGATGACAATCCTGGGGGAGGTGATGGGCTTTGTATTCCAACACATCCAATGCACAGATTGAGCTAGGATGCAACTCTCCTTTTCAAAACCCTTATTGCTCACATTCATCTTGTTACATGCAAAAGGGATTTAAAAGTTTGGTTTTCTTTTCCCTTCACAACCTGGAAGGGTCTAGCTGGTCCACACAGGAAGGCAGGCCAGGCCAGCCCCCCCCCCCCCAAGACCAAGCAAGCAATCTTTTTTAGTTTCAACATTATAATGACAATCACCCTATGACAAGTATATCTCCCCTACTTAGCGCCTGTACTCTTTCCAATAGAAAATTGCTACCTGTAGGTGCTTCCTATGTTTGTCACCATCCAGGTATGAACAAGGTGAAGGTGAGAGACACCTTGTTCCTTTTCCTAATCTGCTCTTCTGCTGCTTTCCAAACAATTTCCGCTATCATTTCTCCATATCACTGCTTCCTACTATCTGAGGTAACTAAAAAGAAAACATGGGAATCACCCAAAGGAACATTTTGAACAAAAAAGCATTATATTCCTACTTCTGCTCCCCAAATATCTTCTCTCCAATATCATAACATAACCTTGAAATCAAAGCTTTGAAAGGGCTAGATTCAATTTTAGATATTAGGAAGAGCATGCTGCAGTTATGAAAGACAAAACACTTTGCACATACACAGAGACACTCTTTTTCTTCCCTATGATGTCATATATACTGGGGCTAGCAATCCCTGACATTCCAAACTGTTTCCTATTTACAATTAAAGCAAGCTGATCTATCTAATACTCCCACCATGAGCCCCAACCCTGTCCATAACCTTTTAATCCCCTTTGCTCTTGCCTGATGACAGTAGCCTTCTCCTCCCCCCTCTTGCAACTACTGTCCCCACCCCCATCTTGGCAGCAGTCCCAACCTTCACCCGAAGTCCCACCCGTGGACCCCTTACCGGCTCCACAGCCATGTCCATGGGGGGCTGTAGGGTCCCCTCCCAGCCTCTCCAGCACCCTCCCCACTAAACGATCAGGGCTTTCCGGTTCTGCCAACGGGACCCAGCAGCAAGTAGGCACCGACTCGGGACTGAGCTGGGTTTCGCCTCCTCCGCCACCTCCTGGGGAGAGCTCCTCCGACGAGAAGGATGTTGGGGAGCGTAGAGAGGAATCGGGGGCCCGCAGCTCCAGCCAGCGGCCATCGCCCGTGGTTTCCGTGCCTCCTTCCGTCAGATCTTCAGGTGGCTCCTTAAGAAATCCAGGCAGGATTTTGGATACGCTTTGCCTGCGAGATAACTGCCCTCCGGAACCAGGAACAGCCCGGGTGGCCAAGTGAGAGCCCTGCTTCTTCAGAAATTTTTCCAAAGGCTTCATCCCACCGGCCACTGCGGGGGCACCCAAGGGCGCAGCAGGGCCCCAGGACGAGGGTTGATCCAATGCGCCCTTCTCAGCCTAGGCCAAAATGGGAGATCAGGGGTGCCCTCTTTGCGTGCTGGAGGGAGATAATGGGAAGATGCGTGGTCAAACAGTTATGGCTATACCCGATGTTGGCGAAGGGGCAAGAACGGGGAACGAAAGAGGGGGGGGGAGCGCAGCTTTAGACAATTTTACTGGACGTGGAAAGGGATTAGAGAGCAAAATAAACCGAGTTTTGCGGCTCGCTTCTCACAACGGGAGCAACTCGAGGGGCCGCTGATGGACCTGGTCTAGCTGACCCCCGAGCTAAACGAAGAAGTAGGAAGGGTAGGAAGGGAGGCGACTGCATATATAGCCTTCTTTTCTCTTGACCACCTCAGCAGCGCCGAGCTGGCTAATCTCTGCCAGGATTCGCCGCCGCCCCCGCTTCTGTCCTTAGCGCAGAGGGGCGTGCGAGTAGGGTTTTCCCGAGTCGATGAGGGGAGCTACGTTTGCAAGCCGGATCTCCCCGCAGCCGCAGCCGCCACACTGCAGCCCCGTCTCCCTCGCCTTTCCCACTCCGGGCGTCTTGTACGCTCTCTATTCGCCAGACTGTTGCTGCTGCGGGCGGGATCCTCCTTTATGGATGCTCATGACAGCGGGGGAGGCAGGCACTGAAAGCAGCAGGAGCGTGGGCTGGAGCCTGCCTCTCTGCAGGGGAGTTTTGCAGACGCGGGGGGGAGGGGTTCTCGGCTCTACCCCTTTCTCCTGCTTCGTATTTCCCGGCGTAAAATGAAGTAAGAGTCGCGAATCGGCAGCCGTCTTTCTTTCTCCCTCCAGATCTCCTTCACCCTGGGAGAGTAACAAGGCGGCTCTAAACTCCGCCCCTATCTTCTCTTCCTCCTCCCCTTTTCTTCTTCTCTCTCTTTTTTTCTTTTACGCTTGCACTTGTTGCGTGCAGGATTGAAGCCAAAATATACACCTTGATCGTGAACGATGAATAGAATTAAAACCTCCTCCTCCTCCTCCATCACCACCACCACCACCTGAAGTTGTTGTTCAGGTTGTTTAATCAGGTTTGTTCAGCTACCAGCTTCATTAGAGTTTATGGGTCTTGATACAGATGTGGTCATGAGAGGTTAGAAGTGGAATGGTCGGTATGTTTTAATTTGCTTATGTTCCATGAGTTATTAGATGAACAAAAAAAGCATTAGGCCAACAATTCTTTCATCTTATTTAAAGTGTGTGTGTAGTGTCTCTAGCCTGAAACAACTGCACCACAACTTTCAGATATAAACGGTGGTGGTCCACCGTTTTCTTCCATTTGCAGTTTACGTTGGCACAAAATTGCCCTGGCAAACTTAGTGTTCTGCCTTCATTGCACCACACTGCCTTTAATATGTTTCCAGTTCATATTTTAAACACTGGTATGTTGAACCTTCTAGTCCTGGGAAAAATTAACCTGACCTGTTTTTCCTGCTTAATCCATCATAGAACCAAACTGCTCCAGGCTTTGGGGAAGTATCTTCATGTGATCAGAAGCGTCAGAGTTCTCACAAGGAGAATAGAACAGAACATTTATTTTTCATATTCATCTTACTGCACATGCAATATGAGCTAGAAAGAAGCATCTTTTAAAAAACCCTTATTTTACCATATTGATATTGTCAATAGGTTAATTGTTTAAGTATCTTCTAGTCCAGGGCTTTTCAATCTTTTCAGAGAATGTACCACTTTTAGGATATGGCAATATTCAAGTCCCACCAGTCGCCTAGCAGGTGGGCGTGGCCTGCTTGACACACACTGAACGCAGCTGACTCGAGACAGCTGGGTCAGAATGGAACAAGTCGCACTGGCTAACTTGATGTGGGGACAACTCGGTGCCCCATAAACTTCTCGCCTCCCCAATCTGCTAGCAGCCAAGCGCACGCGTGCACACACACACGCGTGCACACCACATTCCAGATTTGGGGACTTTTATCCACAGAGGAATGAGAGGGCCTTCTCCCCAAGTCCAGGCATGATTGGCAATTTGCTAGCTCAGATGTGGATACAAGTCTCCAAGCTTGGAATGTGTGTGTGTATGTGTGTGTGTATAGCACGCTAAAGAGATGTTCTTTTCCCAATCCCAGATATCGTTGTTGTTTCCCTGTCCGGTGCCCCCATCTGGCAAAGCAGGAGGTGGAGGACATTTGTAGGAAGCAGTTTCCTCTGAGTCCAACTTCTATCTTGACAGATCTCTGGAGAGCAAGAGAAGGCTGCAGGGGAGCAGCACCCCCGGGTCCTGCACAAGGGAAGCTGGCTCTTCTCAAAAGAGAAGTCTCATTTCCAATCGTGCATGGTAAGGATGCTGGCTTGTTGGGGCAGCCTTCCCTCACACAGCTCCCCTGCCATACCTTCCTCCTTTCCAGAGATCTGCAGGGGAGACAGAGATCTGGAGGGCAAGGTGCAGCCTCCATATTGGTCACTTCTACCTTCTCGATTAAACATACATTATATATAAATTAAAACACAGCCAAAAAGAAAACATAGTTAAATCATTAACTACAACTCTTCACATATTTTCTGGAAAAACCATCTTTATTGATGTTAGGAAGGAAGAGCAAACCTTATTAAGGAACTCTTAACAGGAAGGGAATTGAAGACCCCAAAAGGTCTCGTTCTTTCTAATCTGCCTTCCCTTTGAGTCTTTAGTTCTCATTGTTTTATTATTAAGTATTTAAGAGGAAGAAAGCATGCAGGTGTCCAGTCAGAATATTAGTGGCACACCTGTCAGCAACTGGAAGTGCGTAAATCCATGTACTTCCCTTTCCTGTCTCACAACTCAATCGATACATCCTTTAATTTTCAGGCACATCTTTTTCTCATAAGCTCCTTAAAAAACCCACAAGGTATAGTGTAATTAGCAAGAAAAATAAATCTATCACTCCTGAATTCTTTTCCCAAGAGGGAAAGGGAAGTTCACAGCCTGCAGATTGCTAGCAAAGTCATCAAAGAACGTAGTTATTGCTGCTAAAGGCAAAAATAAATAACGAATCAATTTTGCAGCTCTCTCCTGTTACTACATCCTCTTACCTCCAGAATGTGGCCTGGGATTGTACAAGGGGCTAGGCTAAAATCCGGTTGAGTAGTTTGCAGCCTGGTGTTCAGTACAGACCTTGCCAATAGCCCAGGAAGGGATAGGAAAACCCAAGGAAAACTTTGCAATCAATAAACCATGGTGGACTAGGCTTGTTTTGCCCTATTTTGATTCTCCTCCCCATCGATTTCAGAACTGCATGGCCACAAAGATAGAGACCTTCAGCCTCCCAATCCCTGCTCAGAGAGGGATTTGCATTTCGGCCAGGGTCAAGCCATACACCCCCAATCAAAGGAAAACCCCAAATCCAGTGGGCCAGAAGGCAGCCCAGCCACCGCCGCCCCTCCAGTTCCTTCTCCTCGCTCCCTGGGCACAGACGCAGTTATTGCTCCTCGCCATAGCTGGGGCGGGACTTGCAGGAACCTCTGTCCTGCAAAGTGGCGCTCCCCCCCTGCTGCCATACTGGCAGCCCCGACTAAAGGCCAAGCGCTCCAGCCTCGCCTTGCCAAGGAAGGGGGCAGCAGTGAAAACTATGTCCAATTTGCAGCTTGTCAGGAGCGCTCAAAGGCTGCCCAACTTTACTCTGGAATTTCGGAGTTGGAAAGCGGAGGGGCAGCGTCGCATTTGCAGGCCTGGCGGAACCTACTGGAAAGCTTCCTGCTTTCCTCCCCCCCCCACCCGGCATGGCGGCGAGCAAGAGCACCAGGTGAGCCGCACTTTGCAGGACAAAGCTGGCAGATCTATGCCGGCAGGCCTGTCGGAATCAGGACAGGCTCCGAAGGAGGTAGCTACGGGGGGGGGGGGGAAGCAGGAGGCTTTCCAGCAGGTGCCACCAGGCCTGCAAATGCAGCGCTGCCCCTCTGCTTTCCAATTCCGGAATTCCAGAGTAAAGTCTGGAAGTCTGCAGCCTTTGAGCCCCACTGACAAGCTGCAGATCTGCTGTAGTCTCGACTGCCACCCCCTCCTTTGGCAGGATGAGGCTGGAGCGCTAGGTCTTTACTCGGGGCTGCCGGCATGGCAGGAAAGTTGGGCAGTCTTTGAGTGCCCCTGACAAGCTGCAAATTGGACATAGTCTTCGCTGCCGCCCCCTTCCTTGGCAAGGCGAGGCTGGAGCACTTGGCCTTTAGTTGGGGCTGTCAGCATGGCAGCAGTGGGGGGAGCAGCGCTTTGCAGGATGGAGGTACTTGCAAGTCCCGCCCCAGCTATGGCAAGGAGCAGCGGTGTGCCCAGGGGGCGAGGAGAAGGAAACGGAAGGGCACGGTGGCTGGACTGCCTTCTGGACTGCTGGATTTGGGGTTTTCTTTTGATTGTGAGCTGGGGTGAGTCATCTCCTTGCTGTCTCCAAGGCAGCCCTGGACCAAATGTAAATACCCTTGTCTTCGGTGTAGCTGCAACTGACTCCTTTCCCCAGACTGTGTGCAGCTTCCAGATGTGCAGTCAGCTGGAGCCTGGTGCAGATCCTGAGCACTCAGCAGAACCCGACAACACCGCAGCTCCAGCTGGCTCTCCCACAGGCCTATGCTGCTTTGCTGCCACTTCAGCTCATCCCCACACTACACTTTTACACTTTTTAAACACATTTTTTTACAGTGCTTTTCAACACATCGTAAGCGTATCACCTGCCAGGTGCCAACGTATCACCAGTGGTACACGTACCACCGGTTGAAAAGCCCTGCCTGAGAATGCTGTCTTAGGGAGACAGGATTGAGTTCTTCAAATGTCCCTAAATTGCAAGAGCTACAAAGAGATTTCACAGACTACTGACTGTCTAGCCTTTTCTTAAAAATCTCTAGTGATGGAATGCCCACGATTTCTGGAGGCAAGCTGTTCCACTGGTTAATTGTCCTCACTGTCAGGAAGTTTCTCTTTAATTCCAGGTTGCTTCTCTCTTTGATCAGTT